GTTGCAGCCAGTGGCACGCAGTAAACAATATGAATTATTTTGAAATGCCAAAACCGGGTTATTGCCAGTTGTAAATTCGCAGTTCTGAAATTTTTGACACCACCAACGACGCTGCTATCCATTTGACTCAGGTGTGAATTCAATGATTGCTTGGGATTTTGGAGGTAAGGCCATGGTTGTCACAAGCAGTTCATATTGTCCATAAGTCTTTGTCATCATGAGACAACAGCATAGGCCTCAGTGCTGACTGGTTAGCTTTGTCGGCCTTCAACACACACACACACACACACACACGTTAATAACAAACGAGCTGCAGTGTCTCCTGTGACCTTGAGAATGTCTCCAAATGGTGGTTTAGGCGTCGCCCTAGTGCTGTGACATTAGCATTTAAGTAATCTGCGTTGTTGTCAGTTGTGCCAGCGTTTCCATTATCCACTGGTATCGTTTGATCTCTTTCCAGTATCAACTCGAGTTATGGCTATTCGGGAGTTGAGGAATACCCACAAATGCTAATACTTAAGCCGAAGTAATTCCTGCACCAAACACCGATTTATTACACTGTGTCGGAGGGAGGGTCAGCCCATTGATTAAATTGAAGGTGTAGGTGGTGTTTATCACATAACCCTTTGGTGCAGTTTCAGTGATTTTTCCAATGATAGTTTGCTTTGGCTAAAGACCTGTGATCCCAAATGTATGACGACCTAAGAGACATGAACTGCCTACGCGTCCACGGGTAGGCTGAGTGGCTGGCTGACCGGCTGGGTGGCTGGAGTGTATGGTCCGGAAGGGGTCCCTTTCTCAGCAATTCAAATCATCCTCATCAATGTCTGTTTGATTCTGACTCCTGCTAAAGATGGTATGGATAGCGTCTGTAGTTGTGTTTCTCAAGGCCACCAGGACGTTACAATAACTGCGCCACACCTACTGACAATACAGGGTCTTAGAGACGTTGGTCGCAAAAAGCCAAACTCGCGCAGCCTCCTTCCTCGATATGCAAACTTCGTCTTCGTGTCCGACAGGATGGCGTACCTTTGTTTGGAGGCACACTGCTGAGATGAATCCTGAGTGGTTGAGTAGGGAGTTGTGCACGGCAGACCAGGCAGTTTGCAAGTGAAATGGCTTTCATCAGTCAGAGTGCACCTCTGCACCACTGATGACTGGATATGCGACGTCTTTCAAATGGCGGAACAGGCCTGTATACCAGTAATAGGTCGTTCTCTCTGTTGTGCCTGTCATTGCACAGCTTCTGTCCAACACATAACAGTCGTAGGTGTCTTCGTGCGATGTGGGGAGTTCGTCGCATTTCGCCTTTCAGTGGTAACACGAACTCTGGTACATTGTGAGTTGACGCTTTCGCGTTTGGTAAGAAAATACGGATGGGCACTCTCAAATCACCACCTGTGGGCACCTTGAACTGTGAAACCTATGCTGATGCCTGAACTGTAGCCCCAGTCAGGGGGGACTTGTTCTTGAGTACTCTGTCCACATCGCAGATTGCAAACTACACACCGCACATTCTGTCTGATTTCAAACAAATTACCACACCCATCAGTGGCATCGATTCCCAACTTAACCTTATTTTATTATTCCGTATCCCCTTTCATCCTATGAAAATGACACAAATGCTCATCATGGCCTAATTAATAGCAATGCTAAACCAGTAAATCCTTAATGTAGAACTACCTTCTGCATTCCTTTCTGGTTACTGGTCAAACCAACACAATTTTAAGGTGCTCAAATGTTTGGCATGAGAGCGTGCCTCTTTGCAGTGCGCCCATCCATTTACCTGATTCCCGCCTCACTGGCCCCTATTTTGAGCCTCGCAGAAGATATCACTTCTGAATACCATGTTACTGTAAATAACGCACTTAACGTGGCGTGCTTTCAAGCTGCCATACATCTTAAGTGTGTGAGGCCATTCAGTGACGTTAGTAACTTCATCTTTTACCATTTCTAAATGCTGTTACTGGACTTTCGCTTCTCAAATGGGTGGGATCATCATCTTTTTGAGAAATAAGTCAATAAATACGGGTCTCTGAACTGACGGCATTTATACTACTTAAATTGAATAGGGACCATTTCTTTCGCAGGACATGCAGATCGCTGCCTCCCACTCCAACTAGATGCCATCAGCTAGATAGCCAATGGAAAAGACCTCAGAGCGGGTGTCG